GGGCCACGCAGACAGCGACCGGAAAAGAACCCCGCAGCAGAAAGCCTTGCTTCTTGCCTGTTCCGATGCAACTCCGCCGCCCCCGCCCCCCCGTCGCCATTCTCGCGACCCTGTGAACCCTTTGAAAAACAAAGGCGTCGGGGAGAGCAACGGACTGAGCGCTTCTACTTGGGGCGGGGAAAGGAAGCCAGCCCGGGGTGGTGGCTCAGGCGTCCCCGCGACCCTGGCTAGGCTAGGGAGCTTCGACGCCGCGCCCCGTGCAGGGCGACCGCAAGCTCTTGCGGCCTGCTCCCCTGGCGTCCGCAGGGCTTCCCGGATCCGGGCCCTGGCGCAGAGAAGGGGCAGCCTAGGAAGGGCCGGTGGGTTTTAGGTCACCGCCCTCGCGGTGGCGGACGCGGGCAGAGCGCATCCCTTCCCGCCCGCGCCAGGAGATGTGGAGGGAGGCGAGGGGGGATGGCTTGGGTTGCGAGACAGAGGAAAGGAGTCGGCAGCGGGAATCTGACAAATGGGAAACCCATGGCGCTTGCCGGGACCACAGGCGTCGCCAGGGGGGGCTTCCCAGTCCCGAAACCGACTCAGCCGTGTGTTGCCCAGGCCCGCCTCCCCGTCCCCGGCAAGCAGCAGGCGCGACTTCCACATCGTTTAATTTCTTTATTAAACTCTGCATCTACGCTCTTGAAAGGGCAGACTGCACCTTCAGGTGGCAAAAAGTGTTTTCCGCTCCATGTCTTGCAGTCCGGAAACCGCGGCCTGGGAGGACAAGCCCGAGCTCTTGCTTTGCCGAGAGCAAAACTCCAGGCTCACGGTCCCCGTCCGTGCAGTTTCCCCGCCCGTCCGTTTCCTCGCAGAGCCCGAGAGGGTCTGATTCACTGGAAGAGCATCACGTGCTGAGCCAAGCCTTTCTGCCCGCGCAGAAGGAAGGAATGGCGTTGTTCCCCTTTTGTCTGAAGGTGCTTGATTTTTTATTTTTTCCACCCAAGCACCACAATTTTTCGAAGTCACTGGGAATCTGAGTCACCGCGGACGGCGGGAAACCTCTGGCGGCACCCGCTGTGGCGCGC